GGTAGCCGACAAAACACAGCCTTTCGACACGGTGTATAATGGGGATTGCTCTTGTCTTCGAGTTTCGGAGAAGCCAAAGAACCATTCGCTCCACAAACTCCAATGAAGTTAACAGCTCGTGAATTACAACACCGCCTCAGATGTAGTCTTGCTGGCTGTCTTGAGACACAGATGGTGCTGCTGAATCGCGGTGAATTAAAGCTAAGAGTGGTGGGTACCAGTGTATGTTTGCGTGGCCCAGTTGTCAGTTCACGGGCCACGGTGTCAGATTGTTGCACGCTAGCCTGGAAACGTTGCAGCTTCTGCCCGTACACAGCGTATGAGATGAACGAATGGTAGTTCGGCTAGCCAGCGAGGAATAATTACTACAGAATCTTCATATGATTAGGAGCCTCGAAGACAAAGGTCGTTAGGGCCTACCAGTCGATTTACCGATTCTACACTTATAGGGGGCCTTATGATGACGTCACATGTTTTACAAACTTGTTACGTTACAGTGACATCAAAGGCGACGTCGTCACGTGACGGTGATTTTTCGCATCGCTCAGGGTGGCGCCACGCACGCCAACGGCCAAGTTAGGCGTTTTGATGAGGAATCGAAGGCTTTCGCTTTAAGAAACGCGAAGGTACTCTAGAAGAAAAATGCTTATTGCATGACGTCGATGTTTAGCTGTCTTTCCATACCGCGTGTTTTCATAGTTTTCACCATTGCCTTTTTGGGAATCTCCTTAAACGAGTTCGTAGCAGGAACTCTGGTTCCACAACTGAACTAGGACGAAGCTGTCTTTATGCGAAGCTCGCAAGTTCGGAAGAGAATACCACTTGAAATGCGCATACCTTAGGCGCCTGTGGCACCGAATGCAGGTACAACCTCACTGTGCAGTTTCAAGGGCGTCTTCGCAAGGACTATGGCCTGGTCCTGAAGCGAGTGGGTGATCAGGTCATTTTGTTCATGTTTCCCCGGTGAGTTTATCTTTCGATGTCTTGTCCACGAGCAAGCACTATATTCACGAACGAAAAAAAAAAATATTCGTGAAAGTTTACTTGTTAATATGTGGTGGTGGGGGTGGGTGTTGCAACAGGCGGAGTAGCCTGGCTTAAACGGCCGGCAATTTCTCCTCCTGAGCATATTCTGAATAAGAGCTATCTATCATGAAATGTCACACAGCCCAGCGTCTCGGAAGGAAATTACTCGCTGGGCTCTGACGTAAGTTTCTGGAAGTCGTTTCATGTTTGTTGAGAGATAATCAAGCACACCAGGCAACGTCATATACGGTCTGAATCGTTTACATTTGTGCTGATAACCTTATTACCATCTTATACGCAAAGTAGTGAGTGCAATAGACTATTGCGCGAGGAAGGCGCGAGAGACAATAATGTTGTTCTTAAGTGTAGTGTATTGTATATGATGTAAGTTGTTATATTATGTGTCAAAATTACTAAAATGCCATTAAGGAGAGCAATTTGTGCCTCTTAGGCTCTTCGTGACCTAGTGGAGTGTTGAATGCATTTGGTAGTATCTCTAGCAAGTAGAAGTACACCTTGCTAAAAATTCTTCTTTCGTTGATTATAGTTTAGGCGACAGGGGCTAACAGCTTGCAAGATGATTTTGCCTTTTAGAACTAGCACCACGCGGCAGCAACTTTTTTTAGCCACTGGTGTTATTTTTTTTCGTGCAGCTGATGTGTGCATCATAATAAAAAAACGGCGCAATAACAACAAGAAAGACACAGAAGAAACAGGACACAACGCTGACAGCACACAAAATCTCAGTAGGGGCAAAAGGAAAGTTTGTTTTGAGGCCAAGTACAATGAAAATCAGAGTAAAAAATGGATCATATCGAATATCGTATTGTACAGAAACAGCAAACGTCATTTCTAATATAACCTATTATGAAGTGGTATTTACAGTCCAGTATTCATAGAATTGATAAAATATCAGCTTTAACATTGCACGTTTTTTAACATCGGTTATTCAGGCCGAAGTGGATTATTGCAAAACCAGTACAGTAGGTGCACTGAGACACATATTCTGGAGCGCTCATGTACAATCCTACAATTTGAGGACATCTGTACTTGGCGCCATCTCTGGGCGGCGGCAACGGTGTCCTGCCATAACTGAATGAAAAATAGATGTAAAAAATCGCATGAGCCAAATATATCCAGTTACCAAAAACGACTCCCGGCTTTACGGTGTGCGGAGGCGTTGGAACATTCTGGTACCATTGGAAAATCGCACAACGAAGCGTGTGGCTTCCCAGAAAAGTTGAACACTGTCCATTGGATACACATTTGACACCATTGTAGTATCCTAAGCACTCTGTGAAGACTCGCAGTTTATAGTGCGATACTCTATTTTTACCACATTGTTCCAGTGGCTCTAGCCTGCATATAGCCGAGATTAGTTTTTGGTAACCAGCTTTTTTGCATCGTATCGCTTTTCGTGGCCATTTCCTAATAAGTGAATGTCGGCCACCGCTGTTATGTACGAAAGAGGGCGCTACGCGCGCTTGCACCCAATTCTGGTCATGAGTTGTCATGCTTAGTGCTTTAACTACGTCCGCTAAGGGCAAAACTTTTCGTGTTGGGGCTTTAGTCTTGCTCTTGATAGCACACAGCGTACCTCTTCGTCAATAGGATTGCCAGTATGTAGGTGTTTTGTCACAAGGTAGGTCTTGCAAGAAGGCGAGGCTGGCTACTTGACAACATTTAGGACTGTCGAGAAAAGGACACTCAAACCAGTTAACATCTTCGTCCTTCTCTCTTTATTCTCCACTCTGACTATTTGCAAGAGTACTGACACAAATCCTAATTATTTTTGGATTCTTGATCTATGTATAAACGTGGATGTCAAGAACTTCTTACAGAATGCCATGGTGCTTGAGAATGCATTGAATGTATTTTTAATAGCTTTACTTTAAAAATAGGACATTGTTCTAGCTATTAAATGGGCGGGCTCGCAGTGACGTTTCAACACAAGTCTGGCGTAACGGGAAAACTTAGATTCGTGACATATTAACAGCTGTCAGCTTACTATCAGTCACACGTGTTTCACGTTAACGATGAGTGAATGGTGGTCCAGAGACACCACGATTTAGGCCACATACAGGTTGCAGATTTGACAAACTTGTAACTGTGTTCACTTGCCGTTATAATGTCCTTTGTTTGGCCTGGCTTGGAGTTTGGCCAGGCTTGGAGATGCTTGGTGATGAAAACTTTAAAATATTAGTGACACTTTTCTACGTGTTGTCCGTCTCCGGTGTGAAAAGAGCACTGGTAGTGCACGCTGCGGAAAAGAGAAATATTTCTTTTGGGGTGTCTCCAAATCGTGTCTGTACTCCCAAAGCTTTCCCAAGTACGGAATTTCGTTTTGAAAAAGAAAAAGACAGAACGAATACTTGACCTGACACGCTAACACTGTCGTCGCTTTGGCATGGCTGTGCAGAAAACTAGACGCGTTCGTGACCTTTCCGTGCTTCAAAGATCCCGGATGGAAGACGACTTTCGACGTGCGCCTGCTGGTCGACGAAAACTTGCATGCGTCTTCCACGGCGAGTATCGAGTATACTACGAAGGAGTCCAACGGCAGCACTGTTTATGTCTTCCACAGGTACCACATGCGAGATTGTTTTTAGGAAGACTGTTCAGCTGGTGGTGTGGTCAATCGTTTCATAAGCACTACATTCGAAATATGTTATGAAAAAGGTCAGTTGGCGGGGCGATTTATTTAGGAGAATACTGTGAGTCTGAATGCCAGAACTTGGTGAGGGTTGGGCAGTACAACGGACAAAACAACATACAGGAATTAAAAATTGTATTGAGCAGGTTATACAGCAGTATAAAAGATACTGTTTAGCAAAAAAAGCGCAGATTCACACTGACAAGCATAAAATGCCGTTCACAATCCCAACATGAAGATAATATACATGATGAATGTTCCACAAGAACTACATAAGAAATGAAGCATACTAGAAAGAGGGACTTGCTGGAAGTACAGTCTATGCCTTCTGCAGGTAGCCGGTGCGAGAATACTGGCTAGGAAGATGGGATAGCTGGCATTGTGGTTTCTTTTATGGGTATTACACGCGAGGTAAGCTGCTACTGGTACTAGAAGTACTACATGCGAGTTAGTATGTCAGGAAGATAGGCTTCGTTGAAGGTGCCTTCATTGTGTTACTAAGGTATTACACGACATAGATTATTGATATGATTAGCTGGTATTGCGGTCATTTTGTTTCACATGACTCCATGCAAGATAACATCTAGATAAGAGTGGATAGTTGTGAGAGATAAGATTGCATTATGTCTTACCATTTATTAGGGGTACTGGCATGAAATTCTGACTTGACCAGATAATAAGGGCACGGGCCGTACATCGCCACGTCCAACCTGTTACCCGCTAACAATGGGTTGACCCTTGTTCGGGTGCCATTTCAGTTGTACAGCGAGCTTTCTTATGTTCACGGGCACTGCGATTATTAGCGAATTTGGGCTCGTATTTTGTTTTGGTTTTTTTGTGGAGTCGCTTTCAGAGTTTTGCTGGCGCTTTTCGCATTTTCGGGGCCTATTTGAATTTCCGAGCAAACGATTTTCAATAATCGCCACGTCACCAATGACTGTTTGATTATGGCCTTCAGTGGTTGAGTGTTGAAGTCAAATTCTGGTGGATTGAGGAAACGACACTACTTATGGACTGGCAAACGTGCATTTAACCTAGGAAACAATGATGAAAAGTAAATGTGTGCTTTTATTCATAATGGAGCATGTCTTTACTGTACAAAACAGTTCGAGTGATTTCTGAACGAGACTTGATATTTCAATGACTTTTTATTATCATGAAAAGGATTTTGAACAATGCAATACCATATTTCACTCTCGCTTCTCTTGTGATGAGTATTTATTTCTCAGTGCGGTAGAATGTAATGACCGTGAAGCAGATTCATGCATGAATAATACAAAAGTAATGACCTAAAGGAATATGTACAGGGTGCCCTAGCTATCTTTCGCCATAGTATAAAAAATATGCCGACACCTGTAATCATGACGCGACCAAATGCATGTTGCTGGACCGTTGCCTGGAGGTAGTCAGGCTATTTTTTTGCGTTTAAAGTATTGCCTACATAGTGTTCTTAATTAGTTACCTTTTGAAGAAACCAAAATGGATAGAAAATTTAAATAAGAAAGTTGTAGATCGGTTTGCAAAACGTCCGATTAGACAGTTTCGAGCTTTAGATCTGTTGTTTATAAGTTTTTTTTCTGCTAACGACAAATGCGTACAAAACGCGAAAAAAATACCACATGACAAACCCGCTCACGCGCCAGTGCGCACGATGATTCTAGTGCTCTCTGATGTTCTACGTATGAATGGCCGTAGCATTGCCCAATTGTGCTGTCTCGATAGGGCCGCAACGATGGTGGTGGCTTTGTGATGAACACGTTTTGCTATTGGTCACAAAATCGATAACCACTGTGACTGTTTATCGCTGTCATGAACTGGTGCGAGGTAAGCGTATCGTTCGTACGCGCAGCGCTAGAGAGTACTAGAATCACTGCGCGTAGGCACGCCTGTTTGTTTGTCATGTGGTATTTTTTCGGTAATTCATGGGCATGTGTAGTTAGCAGAAAAACATTAATTAACAGATACAAAGTTCAAGACTGTCTAATCGTACGTTTTGCAAACTGATCTAACACTTTGTCATTGAAACTTTATATCTATTTTTGTTCCTTGAAAAGTTAGTTACTTAAACAGGACTAATTAAACAATATTTTAGAACACACAAAGAATAGTCGGACTATCTCCAGGCAAGAGTTAGCGACATGCATTTTGTCGCGCGGGAATTCCGTGTGTCGGCATATTTTTGAACTCGGGCTAAAGATAGCTAGGGCACCCTGTATATTAACGTGAAACTCACTACAGGATGCCAGTAGGTGCATACACAAGCATAAATAATATATTTCAATGATTTTTTGCAGTTATTGTTCCTGGTTTGCACAGCCATTGCAGCGTGCTTGTTGCGCTTCCACACGCACAGTACAATTTTTTATCTTTTGTGTCACTGTTCGCGAATGTGGCAGCCTCATCACTTTTATCTCTTGTTTTAATTAGGTGTTATCTTCTCTCACGTCTTCTTCCTTGTCTTTTTCATCACTCAGGCCTGGCTACGAATAAAACAGCCCTATTTTCCGAAACACTATTTTTTTTCTGCAGAACGGAACCCATGTCGGCGTACCTCCTGTCTGCCATCTTCACCAATTTCAGCGTCGACAAGAGTGGCAGGATGAACCTGTGGTCCCCACTTCGTAAGTATGCGTGTTTCTGTTCCAATTAAAATTAGTAGAAGGTAAAACGAAATACTACTACTATTACGTGATAACTTTGTTGGCATGGCATAGGGGCCTGATAAGACTTTCGAAGTGACATTGAGTATTAATCAAGTCTAATATTTTTTGAGTCGCCTTGAAATGTAAAAGTGTCGTTTGCAGAAATGGTGATTCGAAAACCTTATATGTCTCACCAAATGCGAAATTCAACTGCAGGCGTCCCAAGCCTGTGACACTTGGCGTCTCGCGGCGTCATGGTTGAGTGAGGCAAACATCATCACCAGTTGATGACGTTACCATATGACGTCGCGATGACGTCATATTTCCAAAGCATGAGACATAATCATGACGTCGATTCTCGTGATGACGTCGTCATATAACCCCTTAACTTTATCAAATGCAGTCTGATCACTGAGACAATGCGAAATCAGGTGAAGTGCCTCCCATATTTGAAGCAATGCAAAACTATGCCAACTGAAGAATAGCCTTCGAATCATGGCAGGGCAGAATCACTGCATTGACTGAGAAGAAAAAGGATGGTGCCTTTCTCTTTCAAGTAGTATTAAGTGAACGCATAAAGGAGCTGGTGAGTTATATAAGGGGATGCTGATAGCGTAGTGCTGATAATTTTATAATTAAAGCACACAATTAGAGCAGTGAGATCAAAGGTACCCATTTTTCTGCCTATTCAGAGAGACTCACAAGCCTACAAGTAAGGGCATTACAATATGTTGCCCGTCGTCGTGTCGCCTCTGTAAATCGACAAATGAAAAAAAGAGTACTCCACTGAGTGAAGTCAGGCATGAGTGAAATTAGGCGATTATGAAGGCTAATCTGATTGCTTCAATGTTGTCGGTAAGTCATTGCTATGCTTTAGCTACGGGATATTAGGTTGTTTATACCTTGACTCTCAGTGCAGGCGGGTTTGAGTTAAGCCACAGACGAGTCACAGACACGACAGCCCGAACTCTAGAGGCGCTCAAAACTGGCGCTGACAGCCAGCATTCGTACCTTTCGTAGATCTGCGTATTTCTATTGTTTCGAAGTCTTTTCGTAGACGACTTTCCTCTCTTTGTGCGCACTAGGGGTCTTCAGCTCGCGACCCCCGATTCACAGCCATTTGTTTTGAAAACTGTTGCCTTTATTTTTTTGTTAACCAGTGCTGAGTAATAGGATGTACCTGCCACGAGACTTATCGGAGGATGTGGCGACGGAGACGAACAGCACCCTCCGACAAATGTAATAAGGTTAATTGGCTATCGGAGGACGGGATACTTGTAAAAGGCGAGGCAGCGTGAAGAACCGTTCAGAGGCACCGCAACGATCAGAGGCACGAGCAGACCAAGCTGGGCGTTGGCGATACAAGAGATGGATGCACAACTTCTTCATATACCCAATTTCTTAGGCGAATTCCCGTTTATGACAGGTAGATTGCCACTATTTGACAGGTGGATTATGACAGATCATGACAGGAAATTATGACAGGTAGATTGCCACTATCCCTCAAAAGGAAGGTATACAACAGCTGTATCTTGCCGGTGGTTAGCTACAGAGAAGAACCTGGAGACTTAACCAAGAGGGTTAAGCTTAAATGGAGGATGACACAGCGAGCATTGGAAAGAAAAATGGTAGGTGTAACCTTAAGGGACAAGAAAGAGCAGAGTGGATTATTGAACAAACGGGATTTGAGGATATCATAGTTGAAATCAAGAAGAGGAAATGGACATGGGCCGGGCATGTAGCGCGTAGACAGGATAACCGCTGGTTATTAAGGGTTACTATAACTGGATTTCCAGAGAAGGCAAGCGGGTTAGGGGGAGACAGAAGGTTAGGTTGGCAGATGAGATTAAGAAGTTTGCGGGCATAAATTGGCAGCAGCACTACAGGACCGAGCTAACTGGCGGAACGTGGGAGGGGCCTTTGTCCTGCAGTGGACGTGGTCAGGCTGATGATTATGATTATAATAATGATGATGGTGATGATGTGTTAACCAGCATATATCCGCCATCGAGAACTTCGAAAGTGATAACTTTATTAGGGCCTAGTCGAGAAACTTTCACCATTTAAATCTGTGTGGTCTTGAAACGAAGAATGGACACTCCGTGAATAATGTCGCTGTGATGTGTGGTGCGCGTTCAAAGTGCGCGCCTTCGAAAAGTGCGCGTCACGGAAAAAAAAAAAAAACAAAAGGAGAAATACCAGAGTGCACGTGCGGTGCTGCTTAAACAAGAATGACGACGTTAAAGAGCGTCAAGCACGAGGATGCGTGGCAGGACGTGAAGTAAACAAAAGGTAAAACATCCAATGGGCAGCGAACACGGAGATTTCAAGGCCCAATGGCTTGACACCACGAAACAGGAGTATCTCCAATGAGAACGAGACAAGTGGGGCCAGAGCTGAAGCAGGAGCCTGGGGGGACCAGAGCAAGGGGAATTCGAGGCAGGCAGTGCAAGCGGAAGGTCGTCACCGGACCGGGCGCTGAAGATGGGCCGTTGGGTTCCGGACCCGAGCCTACAGGACTTCCACCGGCCGGGGCCTCCTGCTGTCGGGTTCCCGCTCCAAAGGACCGTGGCCATCCGGTCCTGAACTCCTTTCCAGGGCCTGCGGACTTTGGTTCCGGCAGGCGAGCTACAGCCGTCGGGCTCCGGGCCCGAGCTGTGCGCCCAGCTGCTTGACTAGGTCGACCCTAGTTCCCGGACGCGTCGCCACCAGCCTGCGTTCTCCCGTCTCCGACGTGTCCACAGAAAGGTTGTTTTGGCCTTGATCGGCACTCCGATGCCCTGTGACCCATTTTGCCACATACAAACAACGTACTGCTCTCTCTCCGAGTAACTACCACTTTTTCCGTATTGCTTTTAGATTCCACTTTTTTCTCGGAAAACTAACAGGTTGACTTGCCTCTGAGCTTCTAAAAAGTTATCTGAGGCCTCGGCCATGTCCTCTAGCTTGTTGAAGTTCTTTTCTCGCAGGAAAAGTGCCAAACGGTGATGACAGTTTCTTAAGAACTGTTCTGTAACTATCAAGTTGCGAAGAGCCGAATATTCTTTCCGGTCCTCGACATCTCGACCCAACGATCGAAAAAACTCAGTAGCCTAGTTGCGTACTGCTTGCCTGTTTCGCCGTCCTGTGGCTTGCTTTGTCGGAACTTTTCCCGATACCCTTCGGCCGTAAAACGGAAACGCTGGAGCAACGCCAACTTGGCTTTATCATAATCGAGTGAATCCTCCGGCGAAAGTCTTCCAAACACCTTTAAGGCTTCTCCGCTCAAACATAAACTTAAAGCTGTGGCCCATTTGTCCCTAGGCCATTCTTGACCGATGGCGACTCTCTCGAACCTTTTTAAATAGGCGTCCAAGTCGTCCCGGCTTTCATTAAATCCCGGTATCAACTTATGAGGATTCACGCTGCATGAAACACTCCTTCTTGTGCTGAGCCTGGTGCTGAGTCAACAGTTCTTGTCTCTACACGGCTATTCTCAGCTTCGGCAAGTCTAAGACGCAGTTGCAGGTTTTGGTTCTCTAATTCCAGCTGCTCCTTCTTTGCGCGTGTCTCCAGTTCGAGCTGTTTTTCTTTTTCGCGCGTCTCGAGCTCAAGCTGCTCCTTCTTGGCCTGCGTCTCCCGTTCCAACTGTTCCTTTCGAGCTTCTCGTTCCGCAGCCCGTTCCTCTCGTGCTCGTGCCTCCTTCTCCTCGTACCATGCTTTAAAATCCGCCCCATCAATTCCCATGCGATCCGCCAAGGCCATTAGCTCTCGCATATTCGACATGATGTCAACCGCGTCAATAAATGAAGGTGTCAAACCAACGGCTTTGTCCTGTCGCTGCGGACGCCAGTTTGTGTATGGAGAATGCCAGACAGGGTCTTGAACCTGAGAACGTGATTGGTTTTGAACCTATAATTAAGTCCACTCAAGATGAGCTGTATAATGACCGAGCACAACGGCATCCCTTCTCAAGAATCCAGGAACCTCACACGCTTGTCGGAGCGTTTGGGCTTGCTGAGGGCACCCCGAGCTTGTGTTCATTAGATGGTGAACTAAAAGAAAGCATTTGTGTGAGAGATTGTGGCATTTGGACATTCGTGTCTCAGTGCGTTTCGTGTCGACGCCGACGGCTCGAGACCGCGCCCTGTTCCTCTGTGACCGGTAAGCGTTCATGTGGCCGGCGGGGGCGCAGACACGCGTTTCAGCGAAAGTGCATAAAAGCATGTTTGCCACAGTTACTTTCGAAACGTGCGAGAAGGGCAGTGCGTCTGGTTTGGGACGCGATAACCTGAGTGTAGGGTTAGAAAACCGGTAGCTCTTTCTGGACTTCGACTTTTAGATGCGGACACAAGTAGCTTTGTCCATAGTCGATTTTGTAGTAAAAAGGTTTATTCCGGGTTTCAGAACTTTTAAATGCAATTGGGTGAATCTAAAGTTTAAGTGTGGACATTTGGACGATGTAGCGAACTGTAGCCCGGTGATGTGTTGAACTGCGTGGTGCAAATATGTGGTTTAATTGTGACGTAGTGCAGAACGCGCACTCATCGGCAGTTTTTTTTTTCTAAAAAAAAAAAAAACTTGAATAAAAGGGGGGCGTATGTGATGTGTGGTGCGCGTTCAAAGTGCGCGCCTTCGAAAAGTGCGCGTCACGGAAAAAAAAAAACAAACTGGCGTCCGCGACAGGACAAAGTCGTTTGTTTTTCCAGTAGATTTTTTGACGCGGTTAACACGATGACGAACACGTGGGAGTTAATTGAGTTGGCGGATAAAATGGGACTGACGGGAGCAGAGTTTAGAGTATGGTACGAGGAGCGGATGGAGAGGGAGCGTGAGCAACGGGCTGCAGAACGAAAGGCGGCGAAGGAAAAGCTTGAATTGGTGCTTAGAGCTAAGAAGGAGGAGCTAGAGCGCGTAACGCGTGGAAAATAAAGTGTTGCTAGAGCGTCAGACACGCATACTGAAGCAGCAGCTCCAATTAGAGAGGGTGGACTTCGAGCGGCGACTCGAGCTTGCGATGGCGAAAAGGGGGCAGCTGGCGATGCAGAAGGTCGAGCAAGCGGTGAATGTTTGCTCCGATAGCAGCGTTTGCTGGAGGGAAGTCGATTCCTGCAAGGTTGGCCTCGAGCCTCGCGACAGCCTTACTTCGGAGCGAGAAGCTCAGATAGAGGAAGGCAGAGAGGTGGACAGCCAAGAAGGCAGGAGTCATGAGGAGTTTGTTGAAGCGACGGAAAGCTCCTCTGGCTGGGAACATATTACTTCCGTTAGCTGCTTGGGGACCTCTGAGAGGCCAAGCACCTATGAAGAAGAGCGCCTGGATATGGGCGACCTAGAAGCTGTGGAAAATGTTGTGGAGCAAAGCTTCGATAGCAGGGAACAAAGACGCTCCATTCAGAATGAGGTGTGTATCAGAACGTCGCAGAGGCCGAGCACATTTCGGGAGGGGTAGGGCTACCTCTCAATAGCTCCATGGAAGGAGCGCTAGAACGTCATTGGAAGATGGCAGCGAATGCCATGAAGGCTCTGATATAGTGGCCACTGATTGTTTTGTACCGACAGAGGTAGCAGCAGGCACCACGTCAATGGTCCTAGACCATACGTATATCTCACTCAGAGAGAGAGGGGATTCTAGTTCACAGGATAGCGTAACTGCTATTTGTCCGAGAAAACATGTGAGCACGATGAGTTCGAGGTGAACGAGGCAAGAGGAAGGTCACAGCTGGGAGCTGAAGACAGGCAGTCGGGTGGCAGACCTGAGCCTTCTGGACTTCACCCGGTCTGGACCTCCGGACAACGCCTTCCAAGGACGGCGAGCTGCCTCAACGGTCGAGACCAAGGCCTGCAGATTCCGGTGCGGGTGCAGCAACGGCAGTTCGGGTCACGGGCCTGAGCCTTGCAACCAGCCACCTCATCGGGCGAATCTGGGCCGCCACAGGCATCACCGAGCGAGTCCCGTTCCATCGTCGCCGCCAGCGAGCATCGGTACACGCCGTCGCCACCATTACAGCAGCAACGTTTTGGTGAGATCGAACTTGCTCTCTTCCCTGCACCGCCGAATCACCGCGTCAGAACTGCATCATGTAGCTGTGACTTTCCGTCGGCAGTTTCGGGACTTTAGATGTTTGTTTTCCTTCTAAATCCCGCTTTTAGCCAGCTACTCATTTCTTGTAGTTTGTGTTTGAGTTTTGCTTCAGTTCTGCAGTAAATGTTTAGGTGTTGTTTGTTAAGCAAACGGCTTTGTCCTTATTAGAAAAACTCTCCGGGGCTCAACCAGGAGAAACAAATCAGCAACAAGAACCCGCATCACAGTCGCCAGTCTTCTTTCTCTACCTGTGAATTACCGTCAAACTAGCAGCGTTACCGCCGAAAGTCATTGGCTATAACGCAAGTTTTAGTAGCCATGCTTTTCCTGACACTTTTGCAGTGTTTGGTCAAAGAGACGTGTCGCGTTCGACTGCGTGGACGGCTTCGCACACTGGCAAAATGACGGCAGTGAGTGCACGCAATACAGAACATTTCATTTCGATATGCAAAAACGCAAGTCCTAGATGGCCTTCGTTTTTGCGTTCTGGCGTGGCTTAGTAGCATTGGTAGCGAACAAAAGCATCAGCGAGTAGCTGGCCAAAGATTTGCAACTGGCCAAAGATTTTCTAAATATATTCTTCAATGTCACACAACGTTAAAAGAGCTTGTGTTTCAACTATGAGCGCGATCGATTTACCTGAACGCGGAAATTTTTTTTTCCTTACTCAAGCAGAGCTTCAAAAAACAAGATTCCCACTTCGGTGTCAGAAAGTTATAACTGAAGTGTGCAAAAGTTTATTGGGAAGCAACACGTGCTGCTGTTATTGTAATCTTAAAATTGTGCAAAAAAGGCGAATAGCCATATACGTCGGGCAGCAAATTTTGCTTGGGCTACGAGGGTAAAAAAGTATAACTAAGCATAACCAAGCGAACAAGGTTTTGTTTGTGCAACCGGCGGTCAGGGGCCTAACGTCCAAAGACCACGATACGAATATGAGTGACGCCGTAATTAAGTTCTACGAAAATGTTGACAACCAGGGGTGCTTTGACGTTCCTGGCTGAGCTAAGCCGTAGCCATTTTTTACTAGGGTGGTTTTGTACGGGGACATGATCGGGCCCAGAAGATAGCCTGACAGCTCCGTTGTAAACGTGACATCCCGTGCAGATTCTCTCCCTACCGGCCTTTGGTGCTGAAGACCATCGAGAAAGTGGTGAGCCTCCTCGAGGACCAGATTGAAACATGGAGGAGCAGTCTGCAGGTGATCGACCTGGTGGTGGCACCCGACATGCTGGAGATGGACGTTTCCGGTGCCGGCTTCGTCGGCCTCCGGCAGAGTTTGTTTGAAGCCTTCGACATCTGGGAGCGAGAGAGCTGGGTCGTCACGGTTGTCCAGCGCATACTTCGATGTTTTTTCCTATCGTATGCCACGCCCCGGTGAGCCGAATCACTCACTGTCCTACTTGAAGTATGACCGTAAAAACTATAACAGTGCACAGAGCTGGGGCACAGGGAACATTTTTTTCGGGAGAGAGGGGAAGAGAGGGTTACTTACCTCTCTTATCTGAAGAGGGGGTTGGGCTGGCCGATGTAGGCGACTGTAATTTGGCGCCATGTACGGTAAGCCTTGGCAAGAAGTTTGAGGGGGGGGGGGCGTGACCTGGTGTGCCACCCCCATCGCTACGCCACTGGCGAGAGGTTATTACGGGTAGGTGAAGTTCCACATCAGCGCTCCTCCCATTGCTTCAGTCGTATTGAATGAAATAACTTTATTGAAGGTTTTTAGGGTGTCACCACGTAGCGTGCCACTCTCACATCGGGACAGATAGGCCTAGCCTATACCCCACGTAACGGGTCAGTTGGACTGCCTATAGTTGTGCTTCTATATCAGGGATGCGTAGCGCAGCAGCCATCTTGAACCATGTATCGTCTTTGTCAAGCCGTAACGCAGGGCGCTGCCAGAGCATGCGTTCTAAGACGGCAAAGTCTAAACACTTAGGCGCTGTTGTTTTGGTGTCAGAATTTCGTAATAGATTCTGCGCAAGAGTGTGGGGATAAGATATGCGCCGACCAGCAAGTGTGTTCGTCTTCGCATATCCTAGCAGAATTTCGCTATGGAATAAAATGAGCTCCACAATGAATTTAATGAAGTGATGATGGGCTTATCACAAACAACCTTCAATGGTCTCCGGTTTGCCGGGGTGAAGCTGGGAAAAAAACATTCTTTTGAATGCAACATCAGGGGGCCTTAAGTGATCACCATTATTGCGAATAACAAAAAAAAAAAATACGCGTTGCTATGACTTTGCGCATGCAACAAAGGTGTTCTGACCCCAGAAAAAGTACGGAGGGGATCATCTTGAGCAGAGCAAGCCCTGCCCCCTATTCCCGTTCGCCCATCAAAATTTTGTCTTACTTTTTTTCACAGTAATAGGGGCGCCTGCTTAGGATTTTCTGGTAATAATAATATGGCTATTTGTTACAAAGAATGTATGCGCAAGCCCTGTCATCACAAAGGAAAAAAAACTGAGCCCAGTTTCTAAGATTTCGCTTAGGGGTGCTTCATCGCTAAATGATGGGCAGTGCCAGTAATGGGGTATGTGCTGGCCAAGATGACGTCCGCGGAAAGCTGCGTCTGCTCACCGCAGCGACAAAGGCGAACACATCGAGGTGCCGTACGCGACCACGGGAGCCTCTTCGTGGCTTTTCACGTTGCGTACAAAGTAGACGAGAATCTTCGAACACGTACTGACACGTCTCCGTGCGCACTTCAGGCTCGGCTTGCCCTTAGTACTGTCCGAGTGTAACGTGGCTCTTGTGGAGGAGGCTGTCTGTGGAGCAGCTACAGGGCAGTGGTGTACAAGGGTGTCGCTGTCCCCTGCACTCTCGTTGCAGTAGAGAAACAAGTGTGCTTAACAGTATCGTTCACCTAGGAAGACCCAGACATGCCTTAGTCTTGATTGGTCGCGTACCGCTGGAACGCAGCATGCTGAAGGACGCGTGGATTGCCGAGTCCCTGGCGTACATGTTCAGACGCCACGTACTTCAACAGATGGGCTTCGGTCACACCGAGGACCGCATGCGGCTGCTGAGCTATCGCGATGCAATGGACTGTGACGACAACGGCACGGACAGTGGAGCTCTGCGAACCACGCTGATCTTCTCGATGCTGGCCGACTTGTGCCCCATGACGTACGTTGTATTTAGAAAGCTTATTTTGTTAAAGATGCCATGGCATAGCCGTCCTGCTTTTTCTGAGTTAGGGTAATTGTTGTAACATTGAATGGAATTTGTATTTAGTCGGTTACAAGGCATGATTGAATATTAGCCTGCCACTGGAGAACGGCGGCACATGTGCAATTTATGTGTACAAGAGTGTGGCGCTAGCCGGTTTCTGTTCATCCCGCAAGTACTTTTTCGCGGGTGATGTGAGTACTACGCACAGTCCTAAAAGTTCGTAGTTCCGAACTAAAATATCAAGTTTTCCAAAACAGCGATGCCATAATCTTTATTAATTGCTGAAATTTACCCAGTAGTGTGAGTTTTAAACCGAAAACCAGACATAGGAACATGCGTCCGTTACCTGTATAAATAAATCCCCTACCTCAAGTACGCTAAAGGAGCTAGATGCCGTGAAAATGAGCAAATACGATTGAATGGAGTGGGACAGTGACGCCAACAGGTGGAACTTACGTTTACGCTCAGGTTGTCACTGAATGTGTATTGTGTCTCTCTGTACGCTCCCGTAGAGCGCAGCGTTGCGCGTATGGTTTCCTTGTGCTGGCACTCGCGAAGCGTTATGACGTGGTACGAAATGACGTCAAATGTTCCACCACAGTGCGGAGAAGCCAGGCCTGACGCGACACAAAGGTTCCGTTGAGGTACTGTTCAGCTAATGGCCGCACAGGGCTGAGTGCTTGCGCCGCGATACCAATGAAGGAGTCGGGTAAGCTTGCACCAGCGTCTAAAATCTGCCTAGTGTACGCGGAAAGTAATCTTTCTGCAGAGCTCTGCGCACTATGGCGAGCCTGGGTACTGTAGTGGCTCGCCGAGGTCGCACTGGAGCACCGAAATACGCATGAGCAAGTAGGATCGCTGACGGAGTGTGTCCATACTATGGCTATAGCAGATACATACAACAACGTGTTTGATGATAGTGGTGTGGTTAATTACTTTTGAAGCACACAATGCTACCACCATGCTCCCATACAGGAAACCATGCTGCCTGCGGTGGTGCCAGCTTATACTGCCTAATGTTTTAACTCCATAGTGTTGAAGGGCTCATTTCGAAGAAGTCTGGTTGTAAGGGAAAACGTAGGGCATTGGCCGCTAGCAAAAATTTGAGATAGATGAGAATAAAGGTAGGAGCCAAAGGGAGTTTGCATGTTGGATTTCCTTGCGACACAGATGAGGACTCCATCAAGAATCTATAGCAGGCTAGCGGTTTGAAGACAATAGCGTGTGTGCTTACGCGCGTGTGCGTCCTTCTAGTTTTGGAAGGTGATCCTTTTCGGCGTTTATCACACCTACATTGTGCGAAGGGGTGCGATGAAGGGCCTAACTTGACTACCGCATTTACTGGCATGTTATCCTCTCCTATTTGCGTGATCTTGTCTGCCGGTGGTTGCTAAATGACGGTAATGATAAAACGGGCATCAGTACGGTGTGACTGCACAGATATCTCTTATTCATGGGTGTCAATTTAGTTCATAAATATATATTGGTTAATGATTGTTGGTGTTGCCTACAGTTCGTTGCCTTTGGAAAATATCACGGAGCTTTAGGATAATGTTGACTTATGCTGGCTATTAGCTGTTGTTGCAGCATTTATTTAATTGCGATAGAAATTCAGTAACGTAAGTAGCTTTCTTGGCGACTTCCTTCATATTAATAGGAAGAAACCACCAGCCTCTTCACTTTATACGGGTTGTTTTTCGCTGGTTGCTTCTTCTCATTGCGATAGCAATTATATAGACACTCTCGGACGGTTTTGCTGCCTGCGTCATTCACCTTAAATTCACCGGTTCCGATCTTGGGGGAAATATCAGCGTATCTTCAGCATTACCACATAGATGGCGCAAATAGCGCGCTCGGCACCCCACTTGTCACGACGCGGTGACACCCGCTCTTGAACTCATCTACCACGTACAGTTTGCCCCGCGGAGGAGGTGGGGGGAAGGTTGTAGATGATTGTGCGTGTGCCCGCTTATCTCTCGAGGCAGTAGAATTGTACGCCTAGGGCTTTCACCAGAACGATTGCGTTGTAGGCAACGGGCGCACAAAGGTCACTTCATTCGCTGCACGGGCCCCGTTTGTGAAAAGAGCACGCTTTTCAGACACAACGATGTAATAACTGGGACACTTGTTAATTTTCACTCATCTGTACCTGTAATTACGTTTGGCGCGTTTGAACAGTACCTGGAGTGCCCATCTATAAATGATCTTACTTCGCCCTCGTCCTGTGTGTGTTGTTTTTGTGCGTGCATTCGCAACACGCTGCATGTTTTGATCTGCTTGTCGTTGTAAGTGTAACATTCCGAGTTTCTGCTATCGCATTCATTGCTTCACTCTAGCGACGAAAGTGTGACTAATATTCAGTTACGAATATAGGTTCCACATTCACTCCAAGCGAAAACACTGACGCCTCGCTTCACATGGTGTGTTCTGTATGATAACATTGCCAGTGGGCCAGGGCTATCACGAAGGACCTTGATAGATGTTTATCGAACGGTAGGTCTTTGGAGGCCTAGCCCCGGTCAGAAACGTTGGGTAAATAAAGTTTGTTCAACTCAACTGAAGCCACCCTACATTGTCACCGGCATTGTTTTATCAGTCCGCGTTTCGCACAAGATTACGTCAACGCACACAAGTCTAGCAGTTAAGTACAGATGTCCTTAAGCTTCCTGGAATTAAGGAACCCTAATGGCTTTCAGAGTGACGTGGAACCCCTAACTTCTTCAGCATGAAGACAATAGAAGATAAGAGTGGGAAAGCGATGAGGGTCGGTGATAACGTTTTACGAAGCGTGCAGCCATAGTACTCACACTACCCGCGGTGGCCTGTTCTTTCTTTTTCAATACTGAAGGCCATCGTCGTTGGTGCAGAGCTCTCCATAATACGCAGACGCGATTTCTCCAAGCTCACTCCACGAGTCGAGTAAAGCGCCTGCCGACCACACTGCATGCTTCATGCAAATTGAATTCACAAATCCTGCAAGTTTCGTGGTGCGTACTAATCAACGAGTCTATAGTCCTGCTAGCACGGGTATCTCTCGCTATCATCAGGTACCCAATGCCCAGATGCGTTGTGCGGCCGATTCGTAGATGCAAAATGCAGTGCAAACTTACTGATTTTACTAAATAAGTAAATTGATAACTGATGTAAAAGGGTAATGGGTTGCATCCGTTTTGGCCACTCGCGCAACCGAAAGGTGTCCATCACGTGACGCCTGTATCAAACCAGGGGCGTCAGCAGAAATATCTTCGAAGATGATGGCAAACTCCTTGATCTGAAGGTGGGTGGTGGTGGTGGGGGAAGGCAAATGTTTATTCGGTGCTCAGTGTTCCATGGCGTAAAAATTTTGGGGGAAGGGAGCACGGGCTCTTGCCAACCCGTGGCCACGTCACTGGTTTCCACGGTACCCAGTCCGAGAACCCCGGGTCTACTAGTTTCTGTTATGTGGGGACAACTATGTCTCAAAGCGTCGAGTGTTGCACCGACGCGCACACTCGTCCTTGTTGTTTCGCGTGCAGGATACGCTCGGGAATCAGGCGCTACATGAAGGAGAACAAATACGGAGTGGCCGACGACGTGGCGCTTTGGCGCACACTGGATCTTTCGGGGTTGCTCTCCCACAACATGGACTCGTGGTTCGATCACGGAGGTTATCCCGTGGTTAGTGTGCTCCGTGTGAACAACCACCGTGGACCCGGGCTTGTCTTGAAGCAGGTACGCAAAGAGAAACCGGTACCTGGGCCAAGGTATAGAGGTAGTGCGTGCCAAAACTTCACGTTCTCGTCAAGTCGCGGTTTACATCTCGCCATACAGTGCCTCGATGTCACCGTTCTCCTGGACAGGGCGGCGATGTGTCTGACAGATCCGCCATATTGAATCGTAGGAAGTAGAGATGCAATAAACCAGCTTGACCGCACATCGCGAGAGAACAACGCACGTACACGTGTGTCCACGTTCACCGGTCCAGCACAATATGGGGGTGGCATGGTCAATGAGTGATAACGTGCGCAGCGTTTCCTACCATATTTTGTAGAGAGAACTCTGGTGCTGCGACCATTCAGCAACCATGAAAATGGTGGGCAGTACGCAGATGTTTCTAATCTTCTTGCCAGCGGCTGCGAACACACTGGTGTCTTCGTTTATTGTTGCGTTTTAGAGTTTGTTTCGGATAAAATGATTGAATACATTTGTGGACTTCGTGAGCCGCTATGAATTGATGAGCCTAAAAAGGTTTAGGAGAACCGATAGAAATGTGTTGAACTTCTTCTAGTTGTATTAGGGCAACATTAGGTCTCACGGAGCCAAATGGATTCGAAAGAACGAAACATGCAAAGCCGTGTACCGCCCATAATTGCCTTGCTGGCTGAAGTGCCATGTGTTGCAGCTCCCATTGACACTGGCGCCTATAGTGTAATAATAGGAATGTCTATGTGGTCGTGCACACTGAACGCACTAACAAGATAATCACCTCCAATTGGAGGCCTCTCCCTGTGCATATGTGTGCCATTGGTGAATCGGTTGCAGTGATACTTAACTCTTGAGTAGGAGGTTATACCTTTTTTTATGGGCTACGGTGGTGAATTCATGCCTGCAGACAGAACAAAAGCGCACCCGTAGTACGATTTCAATGCTAAGTACTGTGCTTTTTATCTTTATGTTTGCGAAACCGGTATAAAACACTCCCTTATGGCATCGCTCCTAAAGCAGGTTAAGATGCGTAACATTAGATTATTGTGATGGCAGCCACCTAAAGGGCGTTCGTTACCGGCTGTACTGCAAAACAGGCATCACTGATAGTATTTTCATGCACGAGAAAGGCTGCGAAGCGCTATGATAGCGTAGTAACAATACTGATTGTTGGCCTACTTGGTACTTGCCTAATGACATGCTTTGGCCGCAAATAACACACACACACAAAGTAAAGGAACACTCAACGACAAGCACAAGCGATTATTTTCGGCCAAAGCATGTGATTAGAATAGCGCAGTCTTTTATGCAATTTACGCGTGCCTGTGCGTATTGTCTGTTTGACGGCAATATAACGTGATGTCCACTGTTGTTTCAACCCACAGATTACACTGGTCTGAGAAGAGAGTCCGTGACTGCGCGAAGAGTACCCTGACCGAGAATGGATTTGCACCCGCAGGGTTGGCCATGCTTCGAGGACACGAAGTGCAACTACACGCTCGTGTGGCCGGTGCCGTTCGTACTGAACGTGCAGGGAGGAATCCGCGTTCCCGAGGAGGGCGCCTTCTGGTTCAGGGGCACCATCCAGCGATACAAGTGAGCACCCGACGCGCCATCTCTAGTGTTTGCGCTGGCATCTTTTCTGTATCACTGGAGACGGTGAAGTAACGCGTTATTCGGTAATGTTGTTGAGGCGAACGGCTACGATAAATGTAGGGTTTAAATGGGCACAGAGTCTGGTAGAGTGATGCACTGCGGCAATCATTTTATCGTGAGATGCCGATGAATTGGGTTGACATCTCAAAATAGGTAATTTAGCATACGAATGTAGAGTTACAACTTTGCATTTGTTAAATAGAATAACGTCTGGTTGCATGTAGAGTACCTGTACTTTTATAATGCCACGAGGGCTCAATTGTTTACGAGTGAACGCTACACGTGCTAATAACGCCCGGCACAGGCCGTGCCGAAATGCACGGGAGGCATTGTGATCACTTCGGAATTTTCTGATCTGATTGCTCATACGACAGATCTGAGCAGGAGTGAAGCTTATTTTAGAACTAACCCTGGTACCAGAGAAAACGCTGGAAGTGTCGACCATGTACGCATAGAAACCACGTGCTCACAATGTCCGGCTATCCACGACCGTACTTACCGCTATCGCGGTATTGCGAAGTGTCCCTTGCTTGTAGAGCGAGCTGGGGCACAAGTGAGCGTGACAATATGGCTGTGGAACGGGGGAGGTGGTGTGAAGTGATTCATAAAAAGGAAAAAAAAATGAAAAGTGAGCGCCGCAACTGTCTGTATCAAAGTGCGACACCTCAGCAGTAGTTCACAAGGGAAGCGATAAGGAGGGTTGAAAAGAGATAGAGAAATGAAGTTTGAGATGAGAGTAAAGGAGTGGGAGACGGTAGGAGAAGACCGTGTATAGAGCCCTGATCCGTGAGCGGTCCTCTAAGAGAAGACATGAAAAAAAAGCAAAAGTCGGCCACAAAATCCACTGAGCGTCAAGTTGTGGAATGGCGGAAGTGCAATTCACTAGTGGTTTACAAAATAAATGAACGCACCAAGCCAGGTGTACATGAATTCGCAGCTTTGAATGTATTGCACTTTTTTAAAACGAACTGTTGAGGCACAATGGGATGCTTCATGGCGTAGTTGTGCAGAGAATAGAGCCAGCAACAGGCACACACGTGGAGGTGGGCCAGATGGGGCTATGCGTGTGCCCGATTTTAGTGCTGCTCTTACTAGTCTTTTGTTTTACGGTGAACGTAAAATTGGTTCAGATACGCAAGGTAGACGGGAAAACATAAATATCAATCGTCAGGATTGGTGGTACCTTATATGAGCACGTGCACTGTTTCATATTTCTAGGTCATATTCGCATTGCATCTTGCAGATTGGCGCGAGATATCGGCTCCTCGTGGTTCCTTGTAAACGTGGCCACGGTGTCGTACTTCCGCGTCCAGTATGACGCAGACAACGTGGCCCTCCTGACACATCAGCTGCTACAGAACCACACGGTCCTGAACGTGAACAGCAGGGCGAAATTCCTGGATGACATGGTGGCGCTGACAGTGCGGCGTATGGTGTCAATCTATGCCCTGGTGGGACTGCTAACGTATCTGCAGGCACGTTCTTTTATTGGCTATTCTTCATTTGGCTTCCTTCGGTGCTCCTGAGAGCTGGTTTAGTGTTTTAGAGCGTACTAGAATATGTACGTTGAAAATTATTGAAGCATAGGCGTGAGCAAAATTCATCTTTAGGTGTGATGAAGCTTCACCGCAGCTGAGGAAGAGAAACCGAAAATTGAGTGATTGAATGTATCTCGCAATGCCTTGTGTTTTGTATGTTACTTATAGAGGGGGGGGGGGTGATTGCAATTGAGGGTAGTGAACAGTTTTTTTAGTGCAACATGCAGACGAAAAGAGCGTCATTGTAGAAAATGTGCATGGCTCTGCACATTCAACACTATAAAGCAGGTCAAATTAAACAAAATTATTGATCAGACGTAGCGCCTTATTTGGGTGACTAGGGGTGGCGGCCTCCATTACCGTGCGCACGTTCAGGCTTGAAGTGTACACTCTCAGAGTGTTGGCAATTCACGACAAAGAAAAGGAGCCAGAAATTAACACGAGACAAAGAAGACCATATAACAGGCGCATGAAAACCCGCATTGATATCGACAGCGTATTCAGTATACTTACTTTGACTTAAAGATCAAAATACAAAAGAACCGCAATAAAACATCGCCAAAGTTATGTTGCCGTATCGTTAGTGCCTTTATCAGTGAGCTACATTTGTTCCGAGCGATGAGTGACTGTCAATTGTCCGAAAGTAGCCCCGTGTGCTTAGATCCTAAAATGTTCAAAGCCCGTGGGCTTAGAGTTACGTGCACGTTAAAGATCCCGAGTGGGCAAAGTTGCCGGACCCAATCCACCGTGGCGTTTCTAATAATCATATCATGATCTTGCACCATCAAACCACATAATCATTACTTGGTACAGGGCTTCACCCTGCATTGCTCAAAGGTTAGCTGGGGATGGTCGTCCACCGTGGTGGATCAGTGGCTATGGTGCTCTGCTGCTGACCCGAAGCCATGAGTTCGAACCCGGCTTGGGTAGTCGCATTTCGGTGGAGGCGAAATGGTGGTGGTTGCGACGTCATTGCAGGTTAAAGACACGAAACGTCCCTAACTTCCGGAGCCCTTCACAAAGGGACGTAAAACCCCAGATAATATAAAAACCCCAGATAACAGAGAACCCCGTAAAACCCCAGATAACAAAGGCGTTTCTCATAATAATATTATGGTTTTAAGACGTAAAACCCGAGATATTATTGTTATTTAAGTGACGATTAAGTAGATGTATGCAACTGGCTCCACTTGGACAACCTGAGCGAAACTTAATGCTGAATTTCGCTGCAGAAAGAGGAGAGCTGTGCTGTGTGGCAGCTGTACACCAGGTCAGCCCGCAAGGCCCTGGAGGAGTTCTCGGGCCGAACGGAGTACAGGCATTTCTACCAGAGGAACCAGGAGCTATGCGTGCTCGTGAAACTGGAACCGACGAGCAGGCCGTGTCTTCTGGCGATGCGCTGGAAAATTTGCTGCTTCTTCGGCATGTGCACGTTGCCTGCACCTATTGCGCTAACTCAGCGCTAGATTACGCCGCTACATTGCGTGACCTGTTTATTTTATGGTGCGATCGGGATAAAAAATGCGAACTAGAATTATAGCGAAATTTAAATGAGTGCTTGCACGTGCATTCAACTTGTTCTGCTATGCCCTACAAGTGTGGCTGTTCTACATCTTGTTCACTGCGATTTTACTTTTTCACTCACTTTCTTGCAATGACGGTGCTAATGGTTTAATCGTTAATCTAAAATGTTTTAGCTGGTCCGTAGTAGCTAGCGTCTTTGTACTGATATCAAAATGCGTATGGTTCTTGATGCACGTTTAAATAAGACTGAAAATTTTGTTGTTTATTACCTCGATGTTTGTCATGACACGTGATAATGTTATTGTAGTCTAGGTAGTTCTTCCAAAAAATAGTAAAAATTCAATTGTTTTTGATGAACAAGGATGTTCTAAATTTTGAACACACAAGAATAATTTCGGAAGGATTGTTGGCATATGATAGCCTGGCTGTATTATCTTCACTCATAATTTCGGGCTCAGTCGTGAAGTTTTTCTGCATTTTAATATTGCGGAGTGGCTCTAAAACAAAGCCTCAATCGAAAAAAAATTGTGGTTTATGAAGATGTCAGCTCTGTTCCGCAGTGCCCTAAAAATGTTAGTTTTCTTATGCTAGACGAAATGATAGGTGCCGGTATGGAAACTTCATCTCCTCAAAAAAAAATTGATTTCATTCAGGAAGAAACTGAATTGAAGGTAAAAGCTTGAAATGTTCCGATTCGCGCAACGGGTTTGTTTATTAGCACTTCAGCGTTAAAAATGTAACCAAAAGCTGCGCGTTTTATAGCGACTATGTCAAGCCCCGTTGGCAGCGGCAACAAATAACGTTTAAATAAATCAATGTCGCAGTTCATTAATTAATCTGCTTACCAAGATTACACTCCAGGTTTAAAGAGGTTCTTTGATAATGACCAAAAATTTGGTTATGGACTGAACAATAAATTAGAGCCCTTGGACATTACAAAATTAGGCTATGAAGGGTGGGTATTTTAGCTTCAGACGCCTCGTCCACTTCATGGCCGTTCATACGTTGTAAATATACGCAACTGTATGGGTATTATCCTCACCATCACCACCACCGCCACTACCACCACCACCATAAAGAGATAGAGGGACTTCAGTCAAAGATAGAGGGACTTCAATCAAACCTTCTTCGCCTCATATTCATGTTTGTATACCCAACGTCTGGAAGATGACCCCCAGAGCACACAGACGTACGCGGGCATATAAACGAATTGTAGATAAAAACGCCTAAATTCACTTCAGCTTGTAGAACAATGCCCCCCCCCCCGCAAACACACACAACAAAAAACGCCAGGGCTGCGCGTATCGCTCGGCATAGTCGCAGCAAAATCTGGGAGAGCGGCCTTTCTAAAGCTTGTTGGGGCAACCATACAGGTACTCACGCAAGGTACTTACAGCCATTGCGATCTGGTTAGAGTTATCTGGTTATATGAGGTAAGTCCATGTCAGTGTAGATTATTTTTTTTGAAGTTATGAGCCGTTGTAAAACACACATCCCATGCTGTGAACTTGTCATGCTATTAGTTCAAATTCAATTGTTTGTAATTGAGAGGGCCTAAGCATCCCGAGCCCAACTTGGCATTCTGCAAGATAAGATAGCTTTTCAACTTTGATTCTTGTGGATAGCGGGCCCCCAACTGTGTTAGCTCCACATGCTTTTTGGGACCCTACGTCAGACCCATCAACGACTACACGGTATCACAGAGTAAAAAGCCGCTGGCTGTTCCGGGTCTCTGTGGAAAAGTGAGCAGCACTGCACGTCTTGTGCCCTTGTTTTCATTGACATACATTTGCACCCATGAAGTTAGAGGTTTTCTGTGTTTTTTAACGTTGCAACAAAGCGATACTATTGTTGTCACCACATTGCCAACTGTGCGGTCGTCGCGTGCGGAATGTGGCAGTGAGTGGTTGCGCATTTTGTAAAAATATAGAAAGCGTGATATTTCAGTCGTGTTCTAGGTTTGGCGAAACTTGCATTGCATTATTGATTCACTCATGCAGATTGCAATGTGGTTGCCATAAAATCAACTGGGCTTGGAGGTTTCACCAAAGTACTCCTTTGATAAGATAAAAGGTTTCTACTATTTAGAATATCACACTATGTACAATGTGATTAGATAAAAGATTGATGCGCAAAAAATATATAATTATACAAAGAGATACTTCCAAAGTAATGTTTCAAGAGCTCCAGTATCATCCACAATACTGTGCGGAAACAGCGACATATAGGCTTCCAGCTTTGAAGTTCTGAACCAGTTCGTTTTCAATATATAGTTCTACGGCATCATGAAACTAAGTATGCCCGTCTCTGGGATCGAGAACTGCATCGTCCCCGTCTCTTGGATCAGTAACTGCCTCTTCGCCATCTTTATGATCGGGAACTGCATCGTATCCGGGGTCGGGAACGGCAGCGTCTCTCTGTGGAACATCATGAACCGCAGTATCTTCGGGTCTGTCATCAGCAATCGCAGCTGCTCCAAGTACATCAGTGGGAATCGCAGCATTCCCGGGTCTCTCATCAGGAACCGCAGCGTCCCTTGGTACGTCATCGGGCACAACAACGTCTTCGGCCACGCCATTGGGAACTGCAGCGTCGTCAGTTACGTAATGGGGAACTGCAGCGTCTTTAGCTACATCATTGAGAAGCGTAGTGTGTCCAGCTACGTCATTGAGAACCGCAGCGTCTCCAGCTACGTCATCGAGAACCACAGTGTTTTCAGGTGCGTCATCGGGGAACTGCAGCGTCTTCAGGTACGTCGCAGCTAACCGCAGCACTCCCTGGTATGTAACCATGTATCGCAGCGTTCCCGGGTGTGTCATTGGAAAACGATGAACCTCCGTGTCCATCATTGGGAACCACAGCATGTGCCGGTCCGTCATCGGGAACTGCAGCATGGGCCGTTCCGTCATCGGGAACTGCAGCATGTACCGGTCCGTCATCTGAAACCGCAGCATCCCGGGTCCATCATCTGGAACCGCAGCATCCCCGGGTTCGTTATGGGGAACCGCAGCATCCCCAGATCCGTCATCGGAAACCACAGCATCCCCGGATCCGTCATCGGGAACCGCAGCATCCCCGGATCCGTCATCGGGAACCGCAGCATCCCCGGATCCGTCATCGGGAACCACAGGATCCTCGGGTCATCATCGGAAACCACAGCATCCTCGGGTCCATCATCGGAAACCACAGCATCCTCGGGCCCGTCATCGGGAACAGCAGCATCTTCGGGTCCGTCATCGGGAACCGCGGCATCCCCGTATCCGTCAACGAGAACCGTGGCATCCCCGGGTCCATCATAAAGAACCGCAGCATTTCCGGGTTTGTCATCGAACACGGCAGCATCCCGGGTCTGTCGTCGGGAACCGCAGCATCCTCGGGTCCGTCGTCGGGAACCGCCGCATCACCGGGTCCGTCATCGGAACCGCAGCACCCCCGGGTCCGTCATCGGAAACCGCCACATCAGTGGGTCCATCATCGGGAAATACAACGTCAGCGGGTGCGTCATCGGAACTACAGCGTCAGGGGGTCCGTCATCAGGAACCGCAGTATCAGCAAGTCCGTCATAGGGAAGCGCAGCATCCCCGTATCCATCATCGGGAACTGCAGCATCCCCGGGTCCAACATCGGGAAACGCAGCATTCGTGGGTCCGTCGTAGGAAACTGCACCGTCCCTGGGTACAGCATCCGGAATTACAGCGTCACCGGGTGCAGCATGGGGAATCGCAGCATCGCTGTTTAGAGCATGGGGAACCGCAGCGTCACCAAGTTTTCGGAATCCGCTGCATAGACCAGAAGGCGGACAGACGGCGGAAGTGGTTGGTTGTTCAGTAGCTCTCGTAACGGACTTCTGAAAAGAAAATGGGCCCATCAAATTTAGAGACAGGTCCTTAATGGGCTTGAATTGAGGTGGAGTTCTTCCCTATGGATAAAAATCCCACATTCCCACATATATGATATTCGTACAGTTGATAACACTTGGCAGAATCTGGGGTGCCTAAATGTCAATATCATCATGCACGCTGTTGTTGGTTGCTGCGTGTCTGTTTCATTCACCTTGCGTTCTTGAACATGTGCCTAAAGCTGACAACGTGGCCGCAATTTGACTTGTCACCCAGATCGCAATATGGTCGCAGTTTCTGGTGTTAGAAACCACCCCTATACCTACACACACCTTTACATGTGGGATTATTTGCTTTGTGGTAAGGGCAGGAGTCAAATTGTAATTGGTTCCCGCCGTATAAGACTGCATTTACGCACCTATGTAACTATAGTGATTGATATTTCAGTCACTAACAACAACGCGTTCCGCGAGAAACTACTCTCTCACTACATCTAGCATCATTTCATAGACATTTGTATGGAGGTGGATATACTTGGTGACGGTATTTTCCTTGTTCTAATACTGTTGTTAGTGTCTCTGTTATGTTGCATTTATTTGTATATTTGAACTGTAAACGTTATCATTTTTCTTTCTTTTTTTCTGCAAGCCCCCCTTACCCTATGCTCTATCGAGAGCCTGTAAGGTATGTTAAATAAATAAATAAATATGATAAAAAACTGATTTATATTTCTCTTCAGCTTGAATACCTCGAAATTGGCGTTTTCTTTTAAAGGACTGAATGCAGAAACTAAAAGTACACTAAATATCACGGGAACATAGACCACGCCTACGTATTTCTCTTTCAAAACACTTTTAAAAAGAAAACCAGGTGACTCCTCATTGTAGCCTCATATATCATAGAGTTTAACCAGGTTAAGGGGGTCAATCAATCAATCAATCAATCAATCAATCAATCAATCAATCAATCAATCAATCAATCAATCAATCAATCAATCAATCAATCGATCGATCGATTGAAGAGAGGGAAACCCAGCATCCGTTTCAATCAGACAGAACTACACATTGAACTAGCAGTTCATCAGCAATCGTAAAGAATACCAA